GAATTAGGAACTCTATCAGTATAACTTGTTATTTTAAATCATGCCTGGAGGGAAAAAAAAAAAGAAAGAGATAGACCTAGAAGCACTAGCTTGAAAAGGCACACCCGCTATAATAGTGGAAAAACGCAAGTTGCAGAACAGATATAGTATAATATTATTCATAACTTTGGAATAAACAGAAAACAAACAAAAAACTGTGTGTGTGCACATACACTTTTAAATACAATATAAAAATTATTTTCACCTATTTATTTTTATTTTTTAATGGGGCAACTAGAAAATTTAAAATCACATACATGCCTCCCATTATATTTCTACTGTACAATGCTGATCTACAATATATAAAAAGTTCTCACAAATCAATAAGAAAAAGACAAACTAACAGAAAACTGAACAAAGGAAATAAGTATATCAAGAAGAACTACATTTAACCAATAAACATTCGTATACATGCATACACATTTTACCAAACTAGCTATGTGACTCTGGGCAAATCATTTTAACTTCTCTGTACCTCAATTTTCCCATGAGTAATATGGAAACTCTACCTCACAGACTTGTTATGAGGACTACTGAGATAATCCTTAACACAGTGCCTGGCACACATAAATACTCAATAAACGTTACCTGCTATTAGTTATGTCAAAGAAAGACTCAGAGACCAAAACATTTAGAAAAGAAAAAATTTCACTTGGAAAGAAATGCAAAGAAGTCCAACTTCAAAAGGACCAGCTAGACGAATAAAAGCACAACACAAGTATTTAAAGGAAACAAATGCAAAATTGCCAAGGTTACCAAGTTATACAGTAGTCTGTTCATGATTTAAAAACTTAACAAAGCGAAACAGTATCTTTCTCAAGAGATTACAATATCCACAAAAGAAGTGACCTATGTTTGGGCACCGACATCGCACAAGGCAGAGATGAAGTTGTCTTTGCCAAGACTGATGGGAAATACTCAAGGTTTTAATATTGGAGGGATGTGGGCTCAACAGACCGACTCTGTATTCTTGGGTTATCTCAGGGTGCAAACTGCTGTTTCTTTATCTTGACTGAGACACATGATGTGCTTAGCCATAATGGAAGCAAGAAAGTGTCAGTTTTCCTTTCATATTATTCCTGGGGTGGGGGGGATCTAGAAGCAAATGTACTAAACTGCGAACAATGCTTATCTCTTGGAAATAAGATGAGAAGAGCTTACTATTTACTGGATGCTTCTGTAGCATTCGAATCCTTTATGTGTTCACAAATTACATCTGTAATATGTAAAAGAACTAATAAGGTCATATAAATGTTAAATATCTAAGCCATCCCCTGTTTCTTTCTAGTTCTCGCACAGCAGATGGGATAGTTTGCTTTCTAAGCTCTTCAGAAAAAGATTTATAAGCCATGCATTTTCTCTACAACCCATTTCCACCACTTCAGTCTGTAGCATCTGCCAGGAGATCCTTAGCACGCAATTCCAATTGGGAAGGGAAAAGAATGACAGCCAATGAATGGGGGAGGGAAGCATTAATTCCTTCTCGCTTCTTTGTTAGATCTCCACCCCAAACCCTGAGATTCCTCAACCAGTGAAGTCCTTCAGAGTGAAATCTGGGAGTTCTAACATCCCCACCCTCATCTCTCCACATCCTTACATTTCCCCAGCAGATTTGCCCCTGGGCAGCCCCTTCTTTAAGGCCCAGAGGAGGAAATGGATTCATAAGAGAACTCATGGGGGGAGGAGAGTCCACAGTGGATACTGAAAGAGGCTTTCATCTGCTTTTCAAGCCAACCATGGCCTCATTCCTAGACGACTCAGCATGTCCTTTAGGAGCCCCAGCAAGAGGGTGGTTTGCAGAGAGAAGGGTCACATACAAGATGCCAGACCGGCAGCAAGTAATGAAGGGTGAGCAAGACTTACTGATGGCTTGCACCCAAATCCCCCTCGGCCAGGTCACCAGTATGGCCCTGCTAACCTGTAGTAAACAAGTAGCTCAAGAAGCCCCCATCTCACCTGTTCTCATGGCACAGATAGAGACGTACCCCTCGGTATGGAACAGACTTGCTATTCTTCCTACTTGAGAACATGAAACTGGTTTTTTCATCCAAACAGCCAGGAGTTGACAATATTTGGGGGTGGGAGGGGTCTCGTTATTTTTCCTCTGGTTACAGCAACACGAGTGCGTTGCCATGACGAAGCGCATCTCGGGACTGCGTTTTCCAAAGCAGCACAATAGGATAATGATCACTTTAGGAGCATCCAAGTCTACATAACTTTAAACTGGATTGTGAAAAATATAAAAATTAAAAAAGAAATAAGCTGGATTGTGAGCTCAGAATTTGGGGGTCTACGTAGTGACTTTGATCATGAAGACTCTAAAACAAAGTTTCTCAAACTTATGTCCTCAATGATGCTGCTCCAGCAAGGGGCAGAGCCTGATCATCTATGATTCTGATAAGTAGCCCAGATGAGTCTCCTGCACCCCAAAGACCTCAGTGTTGGAGGAAGAACAGACAGATGGTGGCAATTCACAATAAAAGCTAACATTTATGGCGCACATGCTATGTGCTGGGGCAATGCTAACCACTTTGCATGCATTAACTCGTTGGCTCCTCCAATGGAAGGAGGTACTATTACTATTGCCCCCAGTTTACAGATGAGGACACCAAGGCTCAGAAAGCTTGATAACTTGCTCTCATTCTCATAGCGGCTAACACATGGAATTTGAACTCAGCTCTCTGAGCTTAGAGCCCATGCTCTGTTACACACTTCCTCAGAATAAATCTTAAGGTAGCGGGCACCTTGACTGTGCAGGGCATTAAAGATAGCTGTCTAGACCTAAGGTTTTCAATCCTAAGAAGCTTAGAAAAAAAAATGGCATGGCAACAACCCAAGTGTCCCTCGACGGATGAATGCATAAATGAACTGTGATATTACACATACAGTGGAATACTATTCAGCCTTAAAAAGGAAGGAGATCCTGCCCCACGCCACAACAGTGATGAACCCCGAGGACACTGCTAAATGAAATAAGCCAGACACAAAAGGACAAGTATTGTATGATTCCACTTATATGAGGTACTTAGAGTGGTGCAATCCATAAAGACAGAAAACAGAATGGCAGTTGCCAGGCGCTGGGGGATGGAAGAATAGGGAGTTAGGGTTTAATGGGAACAGAGTTTCACTTTGGGACAACAGATGGTGGGGATGGCTGAACAGCAATGTGAGTGCCACTTAATGTCACTGAACTAGTCACTTAAAAATAGTAAAAATCGTAAATTTTATGTATATTTTACCACAATTTTTTTTTAAGAAAACTGGTATCTGGTCCCCACACCAGTTAAATCAGAATCTCTCCAGGACAACTATCTGTATGTAAAACAAACAAACAAACACTAGCCAGGTGTTTCTAATAAATACTCAGGGTTGAGCAAGCACTCCAGAATTCAGGACTCAGAATTCTGGAACTCTTCCTGCTCTAAGTTCTGGACGTCACTGCAGGTCCCTGCCTTCCCATTCGCACCAGACCCCTGCACACAAGCCCCCTTCACTGTCGAGGCCCCCAGCTTGTTGCGAAGGTGGCCAGAATCCAAGAATTAATGGAAGGTTCTGGAAGTGGAAAGCTCAGTGATATACTGGGTGTTTCCCTGGCTTGTAATTGTCTGCATGTGCCTAATCCCCCTTAATAGTCCAGGAAGAGGAGCAATTATTACCAACATGCTGTGACTTCAGCATCAAGAATAGAGGTTCCCACTGAAACCTAAAATTCACCCGCACTCATCAACCTCTGTCCGTAACTCATAAATACGTATTTCCAGTCTTCTTTCAGCAGCAGCAGAACTTTGGGGGGAGCCTCAGCAATGGGAGTTATGATAAAGAGGGCTTATTATAAGATTGTTCAGCTGTCCTGGCCATCCGCTCAGCAGCAAACATTCTCTGAGCACCTCCACTTTGCCCCCAAATGAACTCACATCCTGTAGGGAAATGGATATTCACCCACTTAGCAAATACCTATTTCTTGAGTTCCTCCAATGTACCAGACACTGCTCAAAGTACAAGCAACAGAGGCGATATTTAAAATATTCAACAAGTATTCAAATATTCAACAAAATATTCAATCAGGAAGGATGTTCTGCTGGGTCAAGTGGTAACCCTTAAGTAGCTGGATCATGGGGAGGTCTGCAGGGATTCAGAGGTGGGGTGGCCAGGATGGCTGGGATATTGGGGAGGGGTCGCTGCTCTTTACCAGCCAGTACAGAAGTAGATTGGTGTTTTCCCAGCTGGGAAAGCCATATAGAGTAAGTACCCGTTGAATGACAGCTTGGCTCGGGGATAGAGGGTAAACAGTTCAGCCAAGGTCCCTGACCTTGTGCACTGAACATCTAGTGCAGGAGAGGTGAACTTTTTCTGTAATGGACCGGGCCTTGAGGGCCATATGGCCTCTGATCTAGCTACATAACTCTGTTGTCGCATAAAAGCAGCCACAGACAATTCTAAACAGATGAGTGTGGCTGTGTTCCAAACCAAGTTCATTTATAAAAACAGCAGGCTGGATTTGGCCCATGGACCAGGGTTTGCAAAGCCCATTCTGCTGGATGACGCGTGCATACCTGTTCATTATACAAATATTTATCAAGCATCTTCTGCATGACAAATATGGCACTGGGCACTGGATACCTTACTGAACAAAAGGTAAATGGTCCCACGTAGCACTTATACTCTAATGGGAGAGGCCAAAGCAATCCTTTTAATGTGCTAGGGTAAATACTAAGACGAAGGTAATCGGGAAATCCAGAAGGGGAAGGAAGTTAGCCCAGGAGTCCAGGGAAGCCTTCCTGGAGGCGGTGATAACAATGTTGCCTGCTCAGATCAGCCTGAGGAGCGCATGTCTTTCCCTGTGGGTTGTCTGTCATCACCAGCTCTTCCTTTGTGTCCCCCAGTCTCTGAACAGCTACAACAATGGAGACATCGAAGGATCCAAGCGGCTCGGGAGGAATGCCAAGTGGGTGGCCATCGCATCCATCATTATTGGCCTTCTCATCATCGGTATTTCTTGTGCAGTTCACTTCACAAGGAAGTAAGTAGGCTTTTTGAATCCCTCCCGATGTAGAATGCCTTCTCCTGAATGCCCATCGCAATCTGCGAGGACAGGTTAGGTTATGATCCAGGAGCAAACAATCCCAAACCAAAGAGTTCTCATTTTTACTTCCCTGGGGGTACCCAAGCCACGGTGCTTTGTGGAGGGTCTCTCTTCTACCCAGTCACTCAGGGCCCAGGCTATCCAAAGCCCCGCTGCCCTCCAGCTGCTCTAGCTAGAACAGGGATCAACAAACTTTTTCTACAAAGGGCCAAACAGTAAATATCGTCAGCCTCCATCACCATCTCATGTGACCCCTTAACTCTGCCATTTTAGCACAAAAGTGACCATATACAATATGCAAATGAATGAGTATGGCTGTGTTCAATAGAACTTTATTTACAAAAACAGGTATCTGGCCCAGGGGACATAGTTTTCCAATCTCTGAGAGAGGAGAGAGGACCGGAGAATCCCACATGGATTTGCACTGCCTCAGTCCTGGAGTAACAAATGTCCCTTAGGCTCACAGTTTACTAGCTAAAACCAGTCACACAGTTTCACCTCTTTGTAAGACAGAGGGAAACGTGGGGGAATCAATGGGATATTAGGGTTATTGCTTGCTTGGCCTTACCATCTGATCTGCTAAATGATTTCATGATTTTGACTCAACTGGCCTACCTGTTCTTAGCCTAAGGGCAGAAGGGTGACAATATATTTTTCGTATTGCCAACGTGCTCTCATCCCATCAAGAGATGGCTGCCTTTGCTATTCCTCTCCGGATTTGGACAAATTTATCCTGATTTCTCAAGCCAGCTGAGATGGGCTGAATCTGCTAGAATCACTGACACTTCCCATCAGAGGGCTGACAGAGGGCAAGGTCATGTGATGGATGACCAAGGCCCGGAAACGACAAGCCCAGATCCATCGCAGTGTATGTCACTCCTGGCAAGGCCGATAAGGATTCTGAGACATCCTTTAGCTCTTCTGCCAGAGCAGCTCAGTGAGCCATACACCATTTCCCTCAAGCTGAGAAGGTCAGCCCCTTTGGCTTGGTCTCAGGAAAGGCTCACCTGGTGGGCGAGAGAGGGAGGGGACATCCTGAGCCTGCCAGATCAGCCAAGCCAACCTGGGCAGCCAAGAGGGTAGTACAATGTCACAGGAGGTCAACTTCCTATCAGACAAGCCAGACCCAGGAGCAATCGGGGCAGCTGGATGGAGGGGCAGTTGCAAAGACAGAAAGTGCCGCAAAGGAAAAAATAGATGGCTTTGACCACAGAGAGGAGAAAAGGACACTAGAACATCAAAGGAAGCTCAAGGTGTCTTGCCTACAAGATGGAAAATGGACGATGTTGGCCTATGAAGAAGATGGTCAGAAAACAGATATCCCAACTTTATTCTTTAAGGAAGGCATTGTGTGCTTGCATGTGAGCATGGGGCTGTGGAGTGTGGGGTTAAAGGTATTATAGGTATTATAATGCAGGTTTGGCACCAGATTTCCTGGGCACAGCCTCCCCTCTGCCATTTACTGACTGTGAGACTCTCAGCCAAGTGCTAAACCTCAGTTTCTTCATCTGTAAAATGGGTATTATAGCAGTACCCATTGAATAAAGCTATTGTGAAGGTTAATTAGACAACCTGCATGCATATAGCACGGTGTCTGTTCCTTTGTTGGTACACAAAAAATGCAAACCATTTACTAACCCTATTATTACTACTGTTATCAGTTATCAACCCGGCTGGGAGAGAACCTCAGAATTTAAGATACTACCAAATAGAGTTCAAGGCTTTGTGCTCATGAGCTAAGTTCAAAGGACGGTGTTCCAGGGGAACAAGGCCAAGTCTTGGCCTGACTCCTGGGAACTTGTGAAAATACATACTGCCCAGATCAGTGTTGAACTGAGTTATAATAATAGCAGCTGACACTGACATAGAACTTGGCATAGGCCAGCGACTGTCTAAGCTCTTACGTGAATTAATCCCCATTGAATCCCCACAGCAACCCCATGAGGTAGGTATTATTATGCTCATTTTGCAGATAAGGAAACAAATAACTTGCCTGATGTCTCACAGGTAGTTAGCAAAAATGGCAGGGTTTAACCTGGGATAATCTGGCTCTGAGAGCTGGTAAGCTGTGTTCTTCACCACAATGCCACACTGCCTCTAAGCCAATAACTAGTATACTGAATAACAAAAACCAGTGGATAGCACTCGCCTTGTGGCTACCTCCAGAACTGATTTATATGGGGGTGGTATGGGGAGGTTTCAACCTGCAAAAAAAAATATGTGTGATGAGACAGCACCAAGGGTAACAAAATCAAAACACTGCAGGAGGTACGCAAGAAACGTGCATGAATGGGGCAGGCTGGTTATGGTACTATAGGGAGTGGTGGGGACTGTGATGTTCCAGAGCACAGTCCAGCTGATTGTGACCACTTAGAATGCAGACCCCATGGAGCCCATTTTTCAAAAGACATTGGAAAGCTAGGTTTTCATCTCAAATCTCCTGGCTTGTAGATGTTGGCAACCAATTCACAGTATTTAAGCACATGGTGAGGGCCAAAAATGGAAAAAACATACAAAAACCACATCTCCAGACTGGACATTCTCTACTTTGCAGTCTCTGGCAGGCAATTTGGCTTTCAGAGATCAGTTTGCCCATTAGACACCATCTAAGAAGTTTTACAAGGGACCCAGAAGTCTTCATATGTGGGGACTTTCTCCATTCTTATTATCAATGTTTCTATCTGGAGACAAAGCATCGATGTGGATATGCTTGAGACTGATGTTTTGTTAGCAGTCATAAATGATCCGAGAGGAAGTCATCCCCTCCATCCCTTCTTCCTAAGAAGCACTGTTTCATGGTGGCTAGAGCCTAAACTTCAGCTCCGGCTTCACCAGAATTCAAATCCTAGTTCCACCACACAGACCACCCTGGCAAGTTACTAAACTCTCTCAGCCAGTTTCCCTATCTGTAAAGTGAGGCTAGAATCACTTCCCCACCTGTATGGTCGGGTTCCTTTTAGATACCTTTCCCTCCATGTTATCAAAGAAAACAAAAAATATTTTCCAGAGTTAGAATCCCATGGAGAAACTTAAATTTAAAGGCTTTGTGTGTGTGTGTGTGTGTGTGTGTGTGTGTGTGTGTGTAAGAGAGAGCAAGAAACTAGCCCTTAGAGAATGAAATCAATCCTATCTTCCGTTAAGACCAGCAACAGGCCAATTTCTCAGTAATCCTTTGAAATAAAATTTCTCAGCCCTGGGAGGAATTGAGCAGCAATGTAGAATTACTAAGGCAGAGGTTCCCTAACTTTGAGCTGCATGCGAGTTGCCTGGGGAGGTTTAAAAGAAGGTGACATCGGGGCCTCATCTCAAAGGATTCTAAGTCATTAAATCAGAAGTGAGGCCCAAGAATCTGCATTTTTCAGCTCCCCGTTCCCACCCTGGGGTTTGGATGCAGGTGGTCCGCACAACACTTTTTACCCAACATCCTCCCTCCCGAACCCAAAAGAAAGAATGCACTAACAGAAGCTAGCCTTTAACAGAGTGGCCAGTCTTCATTTCCATCAGCAAACTCATCACCCGAAATGTGTTATGTCTCACTTGTTGCCAAGGAGGGGAGTCAAGTTACCACCAAAGAGCCGGGCCTACCCACCCACAGGGAGGCTCTTTTGCAACAAACCTCAAGGCAGTCAGGGTTTCTACTGAGAGGGCCTGGGGAAGCCTAACGTTAGAGAACCCCATTCTGAACAGGAGACAAAAAGCCTTGAATAGGTGACTTTTCTGAATTTCACTCAAAAAACTGTTTGAAGTAAATGACTGCCTTTTTAAAACTATGAGGTCCTGCCTTTAAAAAAAAAAATGTATTCTTTATCCTTATCAGCAACACTGTAACTAATCCCGAAGTCCCTGCCTTTTAAAAAAATTACTCTGTGGGGCGCCTGGGTGGCTCAGTCGTTAAGCGTCTGCCTTCGGCTCAGGTCATGATCCCAGCGTCTTGGGTTCGAGCCCCACATCGGGCTCCCTGCTCCACTGGAAGCCTGCTTCACCCTCTCCCACTCCCCCTGCTTGTGTTCCCTCTCTCGCTGTGTCTCTCTCTGTCAAATAAATAAATAAAATCTTTAAAAAAAAAAAAGAAAAGAAAAGAAAAAAAGAAAAAATTACTCTGTATCCTTATCGAGAGCACTGTAACCCATCTCTCTTCTCCCCCAGATGATGGAAATTCCAGGTGGACAGATTGGGGTCATCAGAGTCTTTATCCAAACTCAGAAAAAGGTCTCATTCATCCTAATTTCACAGGATATCTCTGCAAGCCATGTGGCAGTTGGAGCAAAGAGTTTTGTGACATCAAATCCACAAAGACTGGGAATCACTGACCTTAAAACATTCAACAACTTGGAATAGAAGGCGGTGCTCTCAGAAGAGAAGTATTCTGGTGCCAACGGAATCAGAGACTTGCAGGCTCTCCAAGCCAGAAAATTCCCTGCTCTCCAGCTGCTAGGGAAAGTGGAGAAATGAATCGCACAGAGCCCAAATATTTAAATATTGCTGCCGTCTCTTTATTGATCGAATCATTCACGTCCCCAGCCTAAATTAACCTGTCTGCAGGCTTTTACTTTCTGCTGGTGCCTTGAGGATTCAAGCAAAGTGAGGTTATTCTCAAAGTTTCGGAGCCACCTATGACAGATTCAGCTGGGATGTTTGTGAAAATGCAGATTCCTGGCCTCCAATCAAGACCCTGAGTGGCCCTGAAATATGCATTATCACAAGCAACTCCCCGCCCCACAAAATAGTTCTAGGTATTCTGAAGTTGGAGAACCACTGTTCTAGGGCTTTGCATTTAACAGAGAACCTTCTTGCCTGTGTGAATATATGCCACAAAACAGGACTTTTTTACATCCCTAAGATGCCTGGTAGAAGCTTCAGCTACTGCTGCTTCCTCCCTACTCCCTAGAAACTTTACACAACTCCCAGGTTTGTTCTTCCCTCTCTCCTCATGATCAAGTTCACGGTCACATATCTGATGCCTTGTAGAATTCAGTGGGACTTCCTTAGCAGCAAAAATAGTTGACCATGACAAAGCCTGGATGTAAGGCAGATGAGTACTGTCTACCACAAATATGACACGAGACATTCAGGGCACTTTCATCTTACTCCGGGGTGAGGTTCTAATGTCAGGGCATCGTGTGAACTTTGAGGATAATCAAAATTCATCTTGGAAGCATCCATAGGGGGATGCCCTATTAGAGATTCACACCCTGTAACTGGTCAGCCCAACAGAGCCAATGTTCCCACCAGTGTTGGAAGAGATGACATTCCTTGGGTTGAGCACCAGCTGAAATAGTTGGCTGTTTAGGGATCATGGCATATGTTCAACACCGGAACCAAGCTCCAAGCTCACACGGAAGGAATAGGAGTCATATACCCATCCATGCTCATGAGGTCAGAATCTCCAGCTCCATTTAAACAACTACTTTTTTTTTTCTTTTTGAGAAACATGAATGGTTCATTCACCATAAGTTAAATGCACGTACAATGCAACTCCACTGAACTTACATCTCTGGCTGTAGGTATCTAAATAGCCAGGCACACCCCTACCATGTATTAAAAATGCTTGTTTGTCATTCTTAGCAATAAAAGCCTTCATACTCCAAAGTTTGCATTAAGGAAGAACGTAACCTCCTAACTGGATTAAGGATCCCATGACAGCCTCCCATTAGCAGACACAAAGTTAGCAGATATTATTAACCCATTATGCACTGGTAAAGCCAGTCTGTCTTACAAACAAACTGGCATGAATCCTTTGCTGGCCTCAAAATATCCTTCAATTGCATTAGGATTGGAAGTAAGCATATGTATCAAGGTGGGCAAGAAGCAAGAAGGTGGCGTTTTTGCAAAAACGTAAAAGCAAATCCATCTTCTTTCCTACATGATAGGTTGGACTAAAACTTTCTGGGGATTGTTCTGCATAGATGTGTCTTCAGAGAATTCTTGTGATTCCATGATGAAAAATGGGGAACATTACCTACTTCCAGAAGTCACATCTGAGTCATCATCAACAATGGAAAGATTCTGGCTTTGAAAAGGATATAAACTGGTGGACTTTGACAGGGAAATCAAAAAAACCATGAAAAAGATGTTACTTAGCAGTAACCAGAGCAACACAAATTAAAACAACAATGATAGACTTTTTTTTGTCTGCCAGATTGAAACAATTAAAAAGATGGATAATATCGGGCGCCTGGGTGGCTCAGGTGGTTAAGCGTCTGCCTTCAGCTCAGGTCATGATCCCAGGGTCCTGGGATCGAGCCCCTGATCGGGCTCCCTGCTCAGCGGGAAGCCTGCTTCTCCCTCTCCCTCTGCCTCTCCCCCTGCTCATGCGCTCTCTCTCTCTCTGTATCTCCCTGTCTCAAATGAATAAATAAAAAATCTTTAAAAAAAAAAAAGATGGATAATATCAAGGTTGGTGAGAGTGCGAAGAATTAGATACAACACTGTTGGTGGAAGAGTAAATTGGGACAGTCTTTGGGAGATCAAGTTGGATACACCTATTAAACTTTAAAATCCACTCTCCACCCACACAGCAATTCTACTTCTGGGTATCCTCCCTAGATACAGGTGCACAAAAAGGATGTAGAACAGTGGCTCTCTTCCCTAGCTACACATTAGAATCACCTGGGGAGCTTTAAAAAAAAACAAAAACAAAGAAACAACAATGTCCAGGGCCCACCCTTGATCAGTTAAATTAGAATCTCCAGTGATAGGGCCAGGCATTGGTAGGTTTTAGGGCTCTCCAGAGGATTCTAATGTAGCAAGGGTGGAGAACCAAGGATATGCAGTGATGTTCACTGCAGCTCTGTTTGAAATAGGGGTAACCATGAAACGACCTAAATGACCATCGGTGGGAAAATGATTAAATACACAGTGGTTTACTCATAGGATGGAGTACCACACTGCACCTTAAATATGGATAATCTCCCATACTATGGCTTTATAAGGCCCAACATGATCTGGTTGCTGCCTCTCTGTCTTAATCTTCCAGCACACAGCCCCTCACTCCTCTACTTCAGCTACACTGAATTCTCTCTCTTCTTTGAGCAACACAAGTATGCTCCTGCCACAGGGCCTTTGCACTTGCCCATCCCTCTACCTAGAATTTTCTTCCTTCTAATATCCACGTGGCTTGTTCTGCATCTCTCCCTGAGATGCTTGCTCATAGGCTAGCGGAGAGGCTACCCCTGACCAACTTCTCTAAAATAGCACCCACAGCCCCGCCCTCCTTCCCTTGGTCCCCTTATCCCAACTTTACTTTCCTTCCGTACTTACCACTCCCTGAGAAACCAAATATTTAATATATAATTATACATTTTATGTATTAATATACATATAATCATATATACTTTTATGGTCTATCTCCTCCTACTGGGATGAAAACCAAACACACTTTCATTTCTGTCATTGCCCATAAGGATAGAGCATAACACGTCAGGGTGCTCACTCTGAAGCTAAACTGTTGGGGTTTAAATGCAGGTTCTACGTCTAAGCAGCTGTGTCCTCTTGGGCACGACTTTTAACCAGTCTGTGCCTTAGTTTTCTCGTCAGTAAAATAGGGATAAAACAGTACCTAGCCCACAGGACTGTGAAGACTAAACTGTGTAAAGCACAGTGCCTGACACATGGTACTCACCATGTAACTGTGGGACACTTGTCATCACCAGCATCTAGAGCACTGCCTGGCATGTAAATATTTATTGAATAAACTAATGAATTAATATATATATCATATATATGTTATAGATATGATAGATACCATATTATGGGTATAGCATTATCCCATTTATATAAATACACACAAGATGAATTTCTGAGTGCACACTTATGGATTTAACTGCAGAGAAAAACGCTTAGAGGATGCACACCAAATCCTAACGATGCTGCTAGCCCTTGAGGAGGAGAATGAAGTTCAGAAATGCTCACGAAGCATTTCCTTGCATCTGTATCATTATGGGTTTTTGTGGTTTTTTTGCATGCACCACGTGTAAAAGCAAATATGTTTCCAGATACAACGTTTCTCAAAAGGAAGCCAGTGCTTAGACTCGAAAGTATGCAGATGCGCTGGTCCAAGGTCAGTGCTGGACATCTCCTACAGAGAATGGAAGCCCTTGGGCCAAGAAGGCTCGGGCCGGCTCTCTCTCTCTTTCTCACTGTCCGTTTGTCCCACACAGTGCCTGAGCGGCCAGCAGTCTGCTGCAAGCATGGAGGATGGAACTCATCCACACACACCCCACAGGAGTTTCTGAGGAATGGACCCTTGACTTCAGACTGTGAGATCTCTTCCTCCAGGACTCTCCAGAGGCAGGTCCCTGGCAAATGAACTTTAAAAAAAAAGAAAGAAAGGAAAAGAAAGAAAAGGAAAAAAGTCCAAAATTAAGGAAAACCAAGCAGCGCAACAAGACCAGCCAGTCACTGATTAAAAAAAGAAGAAAGAAAGAAAGAAAAGGAAATGAAAAAGAAAACCTCAAGTCTCACTGTCTGAGTTTAGTGAAAGCCTCTGTGTCCATTCCTCTTCTGCAGAGATGAGCCTCAGGAAATCTCAGTATTTCTAATGGCGGGGGAGGGGGATCCAGATCTGGTCGGGGGCCAAAGGTCCTAGGAAGAGCAATGGAGGCTGGTGTCTGCAAAGTCGAGCACGAACATTTGCAGCATGTTTCAAGTTGTCCGACAGAGTGGGATTTGTGCATTTTTTTTCCTTTTATTTTTACATGTCGGAGTTAGTGGGCCCTCCTCCATCAGCTGCTCCCCGCCACAACCTCCAGAGTTCAATCAGTCCCCAAAGAAACTAAAGAAGGGGCTTTCTGGCCTTTTGTCCTGACCTCAATCTTCCAACAGTCCCCTCCCTTGCTTGCATCCACCGCTGGGCACCTCACTTCACTTAAAGACTCTGAGAATGTACTTAATGGTCAATTCTAGGTACAGGAGCACCTTCCCCATCCCAGTTTTGGGAATAAGCTGGCTGTGTCTTATGGAATGTGCTTTTTTCCAAACTCTCTCTCTTTTTTTTAGCAAGTCTCAGGCACCATCTTTTATTTTCCTGGATGCCAACCTGGAAATGCCACCCACTGTATTTCTTTTCTGTCAAATGTAACCCCTTTAGGTGTGATTGTACTGATTTAACTATGCCCTTATTCTGCCTACCAGAACACGCCAACCCAGTGTTTCACAGAATGCACGGCATATGGCTGGTGGTACTCAAGATAATTTTTAAGTCAGTTATAGACAACATTAAGTGATGCCAATCACAAAGTATTTTTCCCCTTTTCTAGTCTTGTCCAATGCTGATTACAGCAAAGAGAAAGCCTCTGTTTAGTGAGCATGGGTCCTCAACACCTTTCCGTGACTTTAGCTCTTTTCCCTTCTTCATAAAGAAAGAGCAGGCCTCAGGTTCAAAGTCGAGATAGAACTCAATAGCATAGTCCTGTTTTTGTTGTATTTCTTTTATTAATTACCTTCCATTTACAGTTTCCCCATAGGGATGTGATCTATTGTTTCTATTCAAATAAATTTACTTAAGAAAAATAGATGGACTCTAAGAAAATATCAAGCGGTTAACAAAACAGGTGATATGTATATATGGCAAAAATAACTTCAAGAACGCATATGAGAAACACAGTAAAAATGAACTTTCCTAAGCAAGAGAAAAGGCAGCTTATTCTAAGTGAATAAACGAGGCTGAGAAAACACCTGCGTCCCAGTGCCTTTTTTGCCACTAACTCCCTATGCAAGCTGATTTTAGGCAAGTTTCTTAGCCTCTCTGTGCCTCAGATTTCTTCATCTGGAAAATGGACATAAGAACACCTGCCTACATACCTCAGAGCGTTATTAAGAGAATTAATCGCCGTAATAGATAGGAATGCCCCTGGAGGGAGATTCTAAGTGCTACACAAATACAAAGCATTGTTCTTAGATTACTATGAATCTCAGGCTGTTTGTTAAAATCCTGGAAACTAGCAAAACAATAAATGTTGATGGACATCAGATGCCATGGGCCCTTTCACCTGGATGTCTGCCATGAGCCAGCACTTGTCCCAGGAGGAAACGGAATCAGGGCCACGAATTCTCAGCATGCAGGGATCCTAGCATCATTCCAGTGTATTGGGTCCCGGTTTCTGTTTCAGACATTTTGTTTCTTGTTTGTTTGTGTTCAGGTCCCTGATCTTTTACCCAAATCAAATGAGAAGTGTTACTGAGAGGCAGAATAAAAATGGTCTTAAGTAAGCCTGTTTACCATGGTGTGTAAGTTGCGTTTTCTTGACATTCCCAACCTTCTGGAGACTCCCATAACCACAGTGGGCTACTGGATCCCAGCCTAAGCCTGTAGGGAGGAACACAGAGAAGCTGGGGGTAGGGCTAAGGAGGTGTCGACTCAGAAATGCCCTCCCAGGAGGCACTGAAAATGTTCCTCTCACTGAAATCACTAAGTGAGATCCCTGGGACCCAGAGGGGGGCCTGATTTTTGCTGGGCCCTCAGGACCCGGCAGAGAGCTTTCATATTGATAAAGTGGGGTGACAGTCTTCTCCAGGGCTTCCTGCAAGGCTGAGATCATCCTTGCTCCACTCCAAAAAAGTTAGAAAAAAGACTGACCAAGGGCATCAGCCAGAGGACACTTTTAGCAGCCAGTGACCAAAAAAAAAAAAAAGCTAGAACAAAAAGTAGAGTTTACTGGTTCCTCTAACTGAAATTTTCAGAAATAGCTTCAGGCTTGGCTGGATCTCAGTGCTCAGCATTAAGAACTTCTTCTCCCTATTATTTCTCAGCTTCAGCTTCCTGAGTTCATTTTGGTTTCGTGATGGCTGCAACCAGCTTCCGGCTTCTCCCATCAGCTTAGCGATGCGGCGGAAATGAAGTGTTTTTCCCCTAATAGCTATGGAGGTGGGGAGGTCAGGTTTGATTTGAAATAATGCAAAATTGACTCAGAACGAGAACCAGTCCATCAGTATGGATACCAGCCATTAACGAACAGGTGTGGCCACCCTTCCAACACAAATTGAATCCGTGGCCAGGGGTGTGTGGCACTCTCATTGGCCAAGCCCAGGCCCGGCGCACAATTCAGCCAGTGGAACTGAGGGTGAGGTCAGCTCCGCCCAAACTTTATGGATTGAGGGAGTGGGAAGGATGGTTTCCCAAAGGAAAACCAAAGTGCTTTTACCAGAAGAAGGAGAGACAGAAGCTAAACAGAAGAAACAACCACTGTCTGCATTAGGCTTTCTACTCCTTACTATGGCTGCCACAAGCAAGGACAAAAGTAATGTAAAAGCAGGGCACCTGGGTGGCTCAGGCATTAAGCATCTGCCTTCGGCTCAGGTCATGATCCCAGGGTCCTGGGATCGAGCCCCATGTCGGGCTCCCTGCTCTGCGGGAAGCCTGCTTCTCCCTCTCCCACTCCCCCTGCTTGTGTTCCCTCTCTCGCTGTGTCTCTCTGTCAAATAAATAAATAAAATCTTTAAAAAAAAAAAAAGTAATGAAAAAGCGTTTCAAACCATCTCCCCAGTCTGTTGTCACTCTCATCCACTCCCTCATTTGATCGTTATTTACAGAGCACCTGTTCGACCATGGGCTAGGCTCTGCAGATTCCAGTATGATCAAGAGACACCCTGGGAAGAGTCCGCAGTGAGGAACAGACACATAGTCAACAATGAGGAGAAAACGTGAGGATGCTAAGACAGGCATGAACGGTGTTCTGCAATCTTTGCAGGAGGTGCCACTGGCTACATCCAAGGTGGGGGGAGGTAGCCTCAGGGAGAAAATGTCCCTGTACCAGCATTCTGTGCACTGCTAAGGCAGATACGGCTACAGTCCTTGAGGTTGCCCTATCTTTACCCAAGAGTTATGGGCAGAAGCAGATGCAGACATAAATTCGCTGGCCTCAGCTCCTAGATCAGCAAATTATCTTTGGCCTCTGCTAGGACAGCTGCATTCAGCAAAACAGCATTATGCATGTTTCTTGATATGTAATCCTAGATCCAGGCTTCTAAATATAAGAGACAGTTTTGGGCCACTGATTACAAAAAAAAAAAAAAATATTCTAAGACAGCATCCACATTCATTGGCTACTACCAATCCATAAAAAACACTCGTGGATGTTGGGTATTTGAGCCTGGAGAGTTACCCTCTAAAAACAGGTCCCTGAACCAACACACTTTGAATTCCAGTTTTGACACAGGCAGAAAGAGGCATAAAGACTACCTGGGCATCACCCATCATTCCTGGAGAAGCCACGGAAAGAAAAATTCCCCTCCCAATACAGATGTGTGTATTATTTGTTCCAATGGAGATTTTCTTATCAGGGGTCAGGAGACGGAAGTACAGAATTGGCTTTGTGTATTCTCCCGGGTCAAGCATCTGCGTTTCATCTGTACCTGGTTGGGCAGCCAAACCTTGGCTGGGCAGCCAGGTCAAACCTGGGATGGTCCCAATTTTCATCCCTCTTCCGGTCTCAGCACCCGGTTCACCATCTCATGCTGGCTCACGGGAGGTGCCCTGCCATTTTAATTTTCCGAAGCTGTCTGCTCCTGGCACTGCCACCGAGTGTCGATTCCTCCGGGTGACATGGCATCCCACGTATGAGGACTGGGTGTACTGCAGAGTGAATATACTGAGAGGCACTCGGGAGAGGCCAAATCCTGCCTGTGCAGAAGTAACAAGTGGCCTGATGACCAGCACGACAGAGGGCCTCGCACAGATCTCAACACCTAGTAGGGAAGGTAAACAAATGCTTCTCAAGCCACTCCCAAAGTTCATCCAAACAATTACAGTAGTCTTCTTTTTTTTTTAGATTTTATTCATTTATTTGAGACAGAGAGAATGAGAGACAGAGAGCATGAGAGGGAGGAGGGTCAGAGGGAGAAGCAGACTCCCTGCCGAGCAGGGAGCCCGATGCGGGACTCGATCCCGGGACTCCAGGATCATGACCTGAGCCGAAGGCAGTCGCTTAACCAACTGAGCCACCCAGGCGCCCTACAGTAGTCTTCTTAACAGGTCTCGTGTGGTCTTCATTGCAGATTGGCGCTATAATAAATACTACAAATTCAGTGACTTGAAACAACCCACATTTATTGCCCTACTGTTTTGGAGGTCAAAAGTCTGAATCAGGTCTCACGGGGCCAGAACCAAGACGCCGGCAGGGTTGCATTCCTTCCCGCAGCTTCTCAGGGAGAATCGTTCCCTTGCCTTTTCCACCTTGCAGATGATGCCCGCATTCCTCGGGCCCCCGTCTCCTTCCATCTTCAAAGTGAGCAATGGCCCCTAGACTCTTTCTCACTTGGCATCTTTCTGGTTCTGACTTCTCGGCCTTCCTCGTCTCCATGTAACAACCCTTGTGGTTCCCTGGGGCCCACCCTAGTCATCCAGGCTAATCTCCTTATTTTTTTTTTAAGATTTTATTTATTTATTTGACAGAGAGACAGCAAGAGAGGGAACACAAGCAGGGGGAGTGTAAGAGGGAGATAATCTTATTTTAAAAGCAGCAGATTAGTAAGCTTAATTCCCCCTTGCTGTGTATCCTAACAGACTCACAGGTTCCAGAGATTGGTATGGGGACATTTGGGGGAGACCATTATTCTGCCCACCACACCCAGCTTTCACAGTTGATCCCCCTACAGCACTCACAGCAGCCTGACATGATCTCAAAACCTAAACCGAACCATGTCATTCCTCGGCTGAAACCCAACCCACCCCCCCAGTGGCATCCCGTGCAACTACAACTCAAACTTTTAACCACGTCCCACAAAGCCCCCCATGATCAGAGCTTTGTCTGCCTCTCAGATCTCATCTCCTACCACTCCCGCTCCCGCTCCCTCCCTCTGCTGCAGCCCCACCCTGGCCTTCTGGCTCCTCCCCAGACGTGCCAAGATCATTCCTGCCTCAGGGCCTTTGTACGTGCTGCGCCTGCTCAGAACATGGAGTCCTGGATTCTCCCTTCCTCTTCCTCCAGGTCTCAGCTTCTCGGAGAGGGCTGCCCTAACCTGCCCTACCACCACCCCAACCCTAGGGTCTTCTATTTGCACAATCACACAGCCCCAGAGCTTTGCTTCAAGGTCTATCACAACGGGGTTAGATATAGTTGCCAGTTGTATAATTATCATTTAATGCCTGTCTTTCCCAGCAGACTCTCAGCCCCTATGAAAGCAGGAATGCTGTTCACCTTTTTCACCTCTGCATTCCCGGTGCCTGGCACAAAGAAGGTTTTCAGTAAGAACGAGTAAATAAACAATGAATGAGAATGAGGGTGTAGAGCGGGGAGAAATGGAAAAAGAGAACAGAACCAAAAGTTGCTCCATCACCTTGGCCTAATTTTTACATTCTCTGGCAGATTTAAACCTCCCTTCCAAAGGAAGATGTGCCTAACCAAGGAATCGGTTCAAAGTCCTGCCCCAAAACATCCTTGCGTATTCCTTTGTCACTCATCACGATGGTCTGGAAAGAGGAAGTTATGAAAATTCAGTCCACCCAAAAGTTATTTCAAGAAGATACGGACCCCAGGGAAGAACCCCAGCTTGTATGCGTGGGTAACCTTTCCCCAAGGCTCCCTTCGAGGCTGGGCTGCCCCCTAGTGGAAGCAATGGACAAAGGCCCTTCAGGGGTTACCTTTAACGCTCTGCGCTTCTGTAAGGAGATCCAGAAACAAGCTGGATAGAAATCACACAATTTGATAGAGAAAAGAAGCAACAAGTTCAATAAAGAGGAAATGGAGCTAAGGCTTTTTAAGGTCTTACATTGGGCCAGGCACTGTGCTAAGCACTCTGTGCCATATAATCTTTGCAGGACCCAACTGAGAAAGCCACTCTTTACTCTCCAGTTTGATAAACAAGGAAACTGAGACGTGGAAAGGGTAAGTAACTGACTTGCCCAAGGGCCCATGACTAGAAAGTGGTGGAACCAGGGTGTGAACCTGTGTGGGTTGGCCCCAGTGCCTGGGATCCCAACCATGATGGTCCTTGCCTATAGTCACTGGTTCAAAGCACTAAAGTACAGTCTGTTGCCTTTGAACCAGGCTACCTCACTTTAAAACTTAGCTATGGCCACAGTTCTCAAAAGCAATGTAGGTACCAATATTCACATCTCTGCTGCTTAAAAACACTGAAGGTAGACAAGATGGCAAAATGCTTGGTGACCAAGGAAGGCAAAGTCTGGCTCAATAGGGCTTGTTCTTCAGTCTCCACATTCTGCAGTTCTAAAGTTAACTCTTCTGCCCCCAAGATATTGTTTGACCATTCTTAAAAAGTGGGTAACTATAATAATATTATTGAGGCAAACTTTATGGCTTGCTATCTACCAAGGATTGTGCTAAGCCCTTAAATGTACTTTCATATAATCGCTGTTAACAACCCCAGATATAAACACCATGATTAAGTCATCTTTGCCTCTGAGGAAACTGAGGCACAGAGAAGTTAAAGAGATTGTTCAAGGTCACACGACAGCGAAGTCTGAGGATTTGACCCCGGGCAATTTGATTTTAAAATCCATGTTCTTAATCACAACACCTGACTAACTCCCATAAATCACAAACTAGCTCTCATGGTTTTCAGTTCGTAACTAAGAAAAAATAACAAAACTACTTTTCACACATAACAGAGTGAAATGACTTCATTGTCTACTCCCCACTTTCCCTAAGTAGTTGCAAGCTTGACATAAATTTGTGTTGGCTGAACTTCTGGAACAGATTTGCAGTCATCACGACACATTTTCTGTTTAGAATCTTATCAGAGATTAAAGAAACTCTGAGGTCTCACTTCTCTATCTAAAATTGATTTTCTATGTATGATAATTGACATCCATAGGAGACAAAACAACTACACACCTACTGCTTATGAACAGGAGCTCATCTGATTGGCTGATGTGTGATTTGGAATGCCTTTGGTTGCAAGCGACAGAAAATCCAGTCAACTACCACAGTAAGAAGTTACTGGTTCTCACAGTGGAAAATTTCAGACAGAGGGCAAACTTCAAGGTTGATTTGATCCAGCAGATCACAAAGCTAGCAGACTATGGCTCTGTTTCTCTTTGAGTCTCTCCATTCTGTTCTCCTTTGAGTATCATTCTTTGTTGTCAAACTACCTCCTCAGGCTAAAAACTTCCTCATCAATGTTCTGGGAGATGGAAGGCCTCTCTGCCCCAAACCATCTGACAAAAGCCCTACACTTGCGTTGTAGGGTCATGGCTGAATCCAGATTGGCACAGATCTGGGGTACATCTGGGGTGCGATCCCTCATTCGATCATTATTTACAGAGCACCTGTTCGACCATGGGCTAGGCTCTGCAGATTCCAGTATGATCAAGAGACACCCTGGGAAGAGTCCGCAGTGAGGAACAGACACATAGTCAACAATGAGGAGAAAACGTGAGGATGCTAAGACAGGCATGAACGGTGTTCTGCAGTCTTTGCAGGAGGTGCCACTGGCTACATCCAAGGTGGGGGGAGGTAGCCTCAGGGAGAAAATGTCCCTGTACCACCATTCTGAAACATTCAGGAAACAAAAACCTGAAACAACTACTGTAGCAAGAAGGGTGAGGTTGTCCAGTCAGGACCTGCCCCTAGAGTCACTCAGTAAATATTGGCTCTTACTAATTTTATTATTACAAGAAATGTTATGTTTTCATACCCAGGTAAAGTATAAGTAGAATGATCAATTATGAAAAGTTGATCCAGCTCAGTCATAAATCAACAAATACACAGCAGAACAATGAGATGTTCTGATTTTTTACTAATCAGACTGCTGAACAAAATTTTAAATGTTATAATGCTCAGTTTTGAAGAAGGTGTGATAAACAGTCATTCCAAACATAAATGCTACTACATTCTAGAGATAAATTTGGCAATTTCGAGCAAATGTTTTAAAGTATGTGCTCTTAGATCTAGTGATTCTATCATTAGGAACTATTCCCACTATTTTACTCACAAACTACACTAGGATATATAGATTGGTCAGCTTGTATGGGTATATGATGGCAATGTTATTTGTGAAAGTCCAAAATGAAAAACAAAATGTCCATCAATAAAGACTGATTAGACTTCTGGCTTCCCATAATGGAGTAACATATTGGACTAATTCTCCTGTCTATAGCTGCTACCAATGCTGGAGAAGACTTTTTTTTTTTTTTAAATGAGAGGCTCTTGAGAACAACCAACAGCAGGCAAAAACTGTAAGGAACAGAACCCTTAAAAGAAGGAAATCATCCACATTTACCTGGATTTTCCTTTGAGGGGTCTCCAAGTCTGCATAACTCACATGGAATAAATGTCAAGCTGAAACCAACAGTCTTGCTGGGCTGAGGAATCACAGGTTGGTGTTTGGGGCTCCTGGTGTACCTGGAAATTGAGGGGAGAAATCCCAGAAAAGGTAAGAGCCACAGAGAAGGGGTGCAAAAATCTGAATATAAACTCCCCTCAGATCCTTGGCTGACTCCTGAACTACATATGTGGAGCCCAGCAGAAACAAAAGAAAGAAAAGAAAAGAAGAGAAAAGAAAAAGACAGCTGCAAAGCTCAAGGAACTGAGCAGAGATTTTATCAGCTCCTCAGTGCTGGGAGGCAGAGTTTGGGATTTAGATTCCACCAAATTAGAGAAGACTGGTAGCCCCTCAGTCTTTCTGTTGAAACTCCAGAGGAGTCACACATTAGTAGTAAAGACCATATCTAAGGACTAAAGTCTAGAATGCACAAAACCAAAATAGACCCACCCAAAAGAAGCCTAAAAGCATGCCTCCACTGGATAAATAAGAGTCACCGGTAATTTAACTGCCAGATAAATCAAAACCCAACACTATTCTGAGGAAGATAACAGAATCCAAGTTCTCTGCAATACATCATACACAATGTCCAGGATAAAGTTTAAAAAATCACTGAACATGTGAAGAAGCAGGAAAGTATTATCACCAAGAGAACAAATAGTTAATAGAAACAGACCCAAAGATAATGCAGATGTTGAAGTAGGCAAATGCATTAAAATAAAGGCGATAAATAAGTTAAAGGATCTAGAGGAAAAGGTTAATGAGTGAAGATATGGAGAATTTCAGGAGAGATATGGAAACTAAGAAAAACTAGAAATCCTAGATCAGAAAATTACAAATTCTGAAAAAAAATTATTTGTGTGATATTAACAACATATGGGACAACACAGAAGAAAAGATCAGTGAACTTGAGAATAGGTCCATAAAAATTATTCAAACTGAAGCAGAGCAAGAAAAACAACTTAAAAACAAAATAGAGCTTCAGTGACTTATAGAATATCAGGCATCCCACCATATATGTAATTGGATTTCCAAAATAAGAGGAGAAAGACAGAGAATAGAGCAGTAAAAAAATTTTAAAGAAATACTGACATAAATGTTTCCAAATGTTATTTAAAATATCAGCCCATATATTCAAGAAGCTCAAAAAACTCTAATATGGAAATATTTAAAGAAAACCAAATTGCTGGAAACCGAAGTTAAAGAATAAAATCTAAAAAGCAGCCAGAGGTGGGTAGAATAGATTATATACATGGAAACAATGGTGAAAATAATTGACTTCCCATCGGAAACAATGGAATACAGAATACAGTAGAATGACAACTATATAAACAACTGTTAAGCTCCAGTGAAAATATCCTTTAAGTAGAAAATGAGGGCGCCTGGGTGGCTCAGTTGGTTAGGCGACTGCCTTCAGCTCAGGTCATGATCCCGGGGTCCTGGGTCCCTCTCCCACTCCCCCTGCTTGTGTTCCCTCTCTCGCTGTGTCTCTCTCTGTCAAATAAATAAATAAAATCTTTAAAAAAAAAAAAAAAGAAAATGAAATAAAGACATTTTCAGCCAAACCAAAGCTGAGAGAGTTGGGTTTCCTGCAGATCTGAAACACAAGAAATGCTAAAGGAAATCCTTTAGGATGAAGGAAAGGAAAACCAGATGGAAATTAGTATCTATGGGGGAAAAAGTAAGTTCTGGAAATGTTAAATGTGTGAGTAAATAGAAAAGACCATAATCTTCATCAGAATCTCAACAGGACTTTTTGCACAAATTGAGAGGCTGAGTCTAAAATTTAGATGCCACAGCAAAAGCCCCAGCATAGCTGAAACAATTTTGAAAAAGAAGAGCCAAGTTATAGGACTCACACTGCCTGATTTCACAACTTAGCTACAGTTATCAAGAAAGTGTGATACTGGTGATTAGACACAGAGATGAATGGAATAAAATAGGGTCCCAGAATAGACCTGCACATATATGGTCAATGGATTTTTCACAAAAGTGCAAAAGCAATTCAATGGGGGAGAAAATAAATGTTTTCAACAGATGATGCTGGAACAATCAGACATCCATATGCCAAAAAAATGAACTTCAACCCATGCCTCACATGGTAATATAAATTGACTCAAAATAGATCATAGATTTAAACGTAAAACCTGAAATGACAAAACTTCTGGAGAAAACATAGGAGAAGGTGGAGAAACTGGAACCGTTGTGCACTGCTGGTACAAATATAAACTGGTTCAGC